GCTTGTGGCACTGGGTCATAGCTGGGGGAATAAGACTTTTCTGGACCTCATGACTTCATCCTCCTCTCTGGGGCCCAGAGTTCCCCATTAATAAGCTTTCCAGCCTCATCCAACCTGCAAATGTGTGTAGCAAATATTTGACATTCCTAGATTTAGTATTTCCCATTTTGAAAACTCATCGTGCAGTGTGAAACCCTAAGAGATTTCACTGCCTAGTTCTCCTTGAAGGTCCTTGCCTTCACAGAGCTCACAGTAGAAAGGCAGGTTTCACTCTTCTTTTTTTTCCTCCAAAATGAATGAGGGTCATGGTAGGAAAATAATCCTGTTCAGGAGGTGGGGAGGTTTGTTGTGCTCCTTAACTCAACATTTTCATCCAGGTAAAATCAGATTTTTAAAACATCCAGGGTAGCTTTGAAAGGAAGATGGGGGAAAAAAAGATGTCACAATAGGGCAGACTGAAGGGTGTGTGCCCAAGGAGAAGGGATGGTCCTCACAACTTCATCTTGGAAGAAACTGCATGCATAAGATCCTTAAGGTTAGCAGCAACAGATTAGAACTCCTTCCTCTCCCTCACCTGCCCAGCTGTCTGTTCTGTATGGGGTTTCCTGCAAAGGCACAGAGCTTGGGTCTGTCCATCACCTTGACTCATGAAACCCTGCCACGGTTCTGTGTCTGTGTATCCTTTGAAGCTGCCAATTTGGAGATAATGCTCAAAGGAATGACTTCACCTTATCTTCCATTCTATCTGTTGGTAGAATCATACCCCTACCACATGATATGGGCACAGTCAGGTCCACCTCTATTAATTAATCCTCACAACAACCCTGGGCAGCGTCCTCATTTCAATTTTTTTCTATTGCCCCCTTTTTACAGACCAAGGGACCAGGTCAGGGAGGGGATAGGCCCCACGCCAAGGTTACACAGCCAGCAGACAGGGGCCAGGAGCCTCCTCTTACCTTTCAGCTCCAGATTTGTTGCCCAAGATCGTGTTCCCACTCCTTGTATTTCCATTAAATAATCCTGTCTTCCCCAAACCCAGAAAACTACTTGTACTTAGGTAAAGCCATCTATCATATGCCACTGTGGAGAGGACATTGAGTTGGAACAAATGAGGACTTTTGTCTTCCTTAGGACACAGAGAGATAATACATTTGAAGACAGGAGCAGAGCCTCTGAGGTCCAGTGGCTTCCTGTAGCTCAAGCCTAATTTTAATTCCTACAAAGGTTTGCACTGCACACTTTTCCTTTCTCAGACCCTTTTTTTTGGGGGGGAGGCAATTGGGGTTAAGTGACTTGCCCAGGGTCACACAGCTAGTTGTGTCTGAGGTCTGATTTGAACTCAGGTCCTCCTGACTCCAGGGCCAGTGCTCTATCTACCTAGCTGCCCCTCTCAAACACCTTTTAAGTACTCATGGAGGAACTTTTCAGCTGACTTCACGAACTACCTGTGTAGTGTGTTCCAGAGGGTCCTGGGCAATTCAGAGTCTGGAAGCCAGTCAGTTGGCAAAAAACAAAAACAAAACCCAAACCCATTTATTAAATACTATGTGCTAGGCACTGTGCTACACACTATGGATACAAAGAAAGCATCCTCCCCACTTGAAAAAAGGTCCCCAAACTCAAGGACATCCCATTTTAATGAGAGATAACATGTAAATAACTAAGGTCTTGTCAATCTGAAAGTTGGTTAAAGAGACAACAAGCTAGGTGACAAGTAAATCCATATTGCTTTATTCCATAAGTTAGTGACATATTACATGGAGCCAGAGCTTTAACTCTGACTGAATCAAGCAGTTTTTGGAGGACATCTAAACTCTGACTCAGGATGTCTGTGTTACTCAGTTTTATGGTCTCCATATGTTTAACCAGAGCATGAGAGGAAATTTAAATAAGATAGGCAAATGTCAGCTCCGGGATATCTGTGTTTCTTTTACCACCATCAAAGTAGTGTCTGGGTTAAAGGTACCTTAGTGGTCATAAACACAAGAATGCTCTTGGTCAGCTTTAGCTGTTGACCCAGGAAGGGGCATTCTTAGCTCACTTAGGAAGAAAAGATTAGTTCAGGTTTTTGGCCCTTATTGAGGCTCAATTGATCTTAAATGATTATCAGTCTAGACAGAGTAGCTGGATACTTTTGGGCTAATTCTTGGACAATTCGGGTACCTACATGCTTATAGCAAATGCAATAATGTTTGTAAAGTGCTTAGCACATACGCTGGCCTATGGTAGGTGCTCAATAAATGCTTGTTTCCTCCCATCCACCCATATAAAGGGGAACAAAATCCCTCAGCCAACATCCGGTCTTATTTCATTTGATCCAATGGCTTTCAAAGATTTTTTGCATTTAGTCTAAAGCATAAATTTTAAAAACCTAAATGAATGGAGATTTATGGAACAATTTATTGCCTCCTTTAGGTGAAGTGGGGTGATTTGAGGAAGTACCAGTCAGTCCCACCCTTATAATTAAAAGCGCATTTTAGGCAAATAAAGAGGATCATAGATTGAGAGCTGGCAGGGTCCTCAGAGGTCACTAACTCCTTTATTTTACAGATAAGGAAACTGAGTCACAGAGAGGGAAAGTGACTTTACCAAAGTCACACAAGTGAATGGCAGGCTGGCATTCCAGCCTAGAACCTCTGTCTCAAATACAGGATTTCTGCCACCTGTCCACCTCTATCAGCAGGCACATTCAGCTCTTATGCCTCACTGGCTCTTTATGATCACACACTCAGAGCTGGATAGGACTTTTAGAAGCTTTCTAGTTGGAACCCATTAATTTACAGATGAGAAAACTGAGGCCCAGAGGATGAAAGAAGAATGTAACAATTCCTACTTTAAAGGTACTTACATTTTATCTGGCAGCTAGCTTGTATATATATAAATATTTACAGAGTATCACCTAAAGTGAATAAACACAGATATACTGTGTACAAAGTAGTTAAATCCAAGGCTGCTGAGTTTCCTCTTAAAGGAGGAGGACTTTGTAAGGCTGCGTTAAGGAGCAAGTGCATTCCAGGCATCTTTGTATCTTCAGCATTTAGCACGGTGCTTGGCACATAGCAATAATATTGTTTTGCCGAGTATATATAATAATGATAGTTACCATTTATGGAGAGTTTTAAGGTTTTCAAGACTTTCCTAAGTATGATCTTATTGATCCTCACAAGGCTGTTTGCTGAACTGAACAGAGCTGAATGCTAAAGCTAATCTGCCCTCATCATTACCAATAATAGAGCATTAAAATAAAAATAAGTGAAGCTGTACTTCGTGCTGACTGAATCGGTAGAAATGATCAAAGGTAGAAAATTAGTCAATGTTGGAGGGGCTGTGGAAAGACAGGCACTTTAAGACAAAGTTAGTGGAGTTGTGAAATTGTCCAACCATTCCGAAAAGAAATTTGGAATTATGCTTTTAAAAAAAAAGCGATGAAGATGCCCCAGAAATCCTATTGCTAGGATTATTCCTCTAAGGAGATCAAAGACAGAAACAAACGCCTCACACAACACACCATATTCAGAGGAGCCCTTTCTGTAGCAGCAAAGAGGAAACAAAGTAGCAGTTCAGTGCATCGGAGAACGGCTAAAGGAGTCGGAGTATTAATGAAATAACGAATGTGAAGAAGTCGGGAAGGATGAGAAAACTTATGTGAAGGAAAGGGCAAGGACAACCGAGTTCTGTGTAACGCAGGGGGCTTTGGTTACAAGGCACGGCTGGGAGGGAGGACATGTGGTCCGAGATGAAAAGGCATTTATTCAGCGCCCGCGAAGAGCCCAGCTCGGGGCTCAGCGCCAGAGACACAAAGAAAGGCAGAAGACAACCCCTGCCCTCGGGGAGCTTACAGTCTAATGCAAACAACCTGGTACCCACGAGCCACGGACGGGATTAAATGGGAGCCTATCTCGGGCAAGGCAGGTTGGCCCCGGGACTCCTCAGAGGCAGGATTTGGAGCCAAGAAGACCTGGGTTCAGATCCGTCCCGGGTGACCACCGGCAAGTCACTTTACCTCTGAACCTCAGGGCTATAAATTACAGAGGGGTGGCTATCTGCTTGTGCACACGTATCATCTGAGCCTCACAACATCTCTGGGTCTTATTAGGCCCATTTGACTGATGAGGAAACTGAGGCTTCCAGAGAGGGTAAGTTGGGGGGGCGCCGCCCTTTCCCCGCCCTGTTTATTGTTCCCCTTTAACAGCTGGTGAGACCGATTTGTCCACGGATGGGATGGCCGAGGTCAGAAGCCCTTTCTCTCTCTCCAGGTCCCAACGGAGGCGCCCCCTGGTGGCGGTGCAGGCTCTCTCCCCACCGCGACCTTCGTACATTCTCAAGCCCAGGCTCACTTCCTCTTTAACCCGGAAGGTAAGAGACAGACGCCGGGGCGCGGTGACGTCACATCCTGCCTCCTCGCCGTGCTTCCGGAAGAGCGCTAGGGCGGTCTGGCTGAAAAACTGCGAACCGTGAGTTTCGTGAGAATCACTGGGTCATCCTCAATCGCAGAAGCGTCAGTCACAAGTAGGGGAATAACAACAAAGGCTCGTAGCGGGTCTTTCGGCTGAGATTCTCTGTCTTCTAGGGAGAGGAGCTAAACGTGGGGACTCCAGGTGTACAGCACGGTTGGCCGCTAAGCTCGTGGTGCCCTGCGTTAAGGAGAACCGGAAGAGCATGCTGCACCGTCTAGCGCGCAGGCTCGCTTTCTCACGCACGTCTTTCATTGCGCAGGCGTGTCCTCCGAATCAGGCGCGCACGCTTTCTGGCTCAGGCGCGCCTTCTCTTGCGCAGGCGCACCTTCTCTTGCGCGCGCACAAGCTCGCTACGGCGCAGGCGCTCCGTCTAGCTCGCGCAGCTGTCCAGCGCGCAGGCGCAGTGGCACAGAACCTGGAGCGGCAGCTGCGTTTTTGGGCTGCTGGGGTTCTGTGGGCTCCTGGGGTGGTTCGTCCCGCCCCCTCTTTCGCTCCGCGGGGCTCAGAGTACGCGTGAGTCTGCGGCCGTTGTGCGGGTGAGGAACGCTCGTGGGGGCCGCGGGAGTGCCCGTGGCCCTTTGAAGTGTTGGAAGCGCTTTCCCCGCGCGAGTTTCTCCAAGGGGGAAACTGAGGCCCCGAGGGCAGGCAGGGTTCCGTTTGGCCATGTATCCCCAGGGCCTGGCACACAGTCAGCTTTTCATAAATGCGTGTGGAATGAATGAATGCGGGAGCCCGCGTCTCAGGACTCAGGAGGCCACAAGCCAGCGGCCCGGGCGCCATGCAGTAGGCGCTGCATAGATGGTAAAAGGCATCAGAGGGTCGGAGTCAGCATTTGAACCCAGGGCCGACCCTCCTTCCTCAGAGGCCGTGAGTGGGGTCCCTTCCAGCTCTCAGGCTAAGGCCCTGGGAGGGCCCCAAGCCCTGCTCAGCATGCCTCATCCCGGCATTGCTGGTCACTCTGGGCTCTGTTTGTTTTTCATTTTTTAGATAAAGAAAACTCCCCCCCCCCCGAACTTAAACGTCAAATAAGTTAAACGTTTCTATATATGAAGAATAGAAAAGTGGCGTGTACGGGAAACAAAATTTCTTTTTTGTGGACCTGTTGCTTTCCTTTTTAAGTGTATAGTAATCCACTGTATAAGTTAATAAGCTTTTCTGATCGTGTGTATTGCCTTCTTGCCTTCTGTCTTTGTGCCTTTCTTTTTTAAAGTTCTTTTGATTTTGGGAGCTCTATTATTAGCTTCCCACTTTTTTTCTGTGCCCCTCCCCTCTCTTGGAAAAAGTAAAACAAAAATACAACCCTTGCAACAAAAGTATAGTCAAGTAAAACAAAAATATACATCTTGTGCATCTCCTGCACCCTGAGTCAGTCACATCTCTGGAAATGGGTCATCAGGCCTTTGGAGTTGGGGTTGGTTGGTACTTGTCAGAGTTTTTAAGTCTTTCAAAATTATGTTTCTTTACAGTGTTCTTCCATGAATTGCTCTCCTGGTTCTGTTCACTTCCCTCTGTGTCAGTTCAGACAAGTCTGCCAGGTGACCCTGGGTTCTTCAAGCTTGTGCTTCTGGAACATGTGTTGGGTTCCACCTGGCTGGGAAGATTGCTTCCATTCTGTCCTTTGTCCCAGAACCAGCCTCCTTAAGTTTGGAGAGATTCATTGCCACAGTTGGCTCCCAGTCTGTTGATGAAAAGAAGGGTTAAGGCTGGTGGTAGAGGGAATGACCTATCGGCTTATGTCTCTGACCCATGAAAAGTACTGGGTGGCCACAAAAATTAGCATTCAAAATAAAGCTTTGGAAATAATTCAAAACTCAGAAATGAATACTTTTGATTCTCTTTCTTTAGGTTTAATCAATACTATGAAACACTTGAGTAAAAACAAGTTGCCTTCACCTGCCACATTTGAAAGAATCGTATATAAAAATCCCTCTGAGTACCATTACATGAAAGTCCAACTGTAAGTTCATTTTTCTAACTACTCTTTTACATTTGTTCCTTAAAGATCTGAAGATGAACAATAGGATTTTTTTAAATGCCTGCTTTTCTTTATAGTGAATTTCAAGATCACGGATTTAGATTAACTGATGCACAGTTCAAACAATTGATTGTTTTGGCCCTGAGGGACTTGTTTGGAGAGGTATGTGAGTCTTCGATTTTTTAATCCATTTAATGCTTCTAGGATTTTGGAAGGTACTCCAGAGAAGATATCTCTTGATATTATTCCATGACTTACTTTTTTTAATACTGAAAATTGGCGCTGAAGTATTCTTGATTTGTCCCCATTTCTCTTCATAGAATGTTGCAAGGAAAAAGTAAAAGCTGAATATCGCAATTTCTAGTTAATTGTTAACTTGGAATCTAGTCTTCTTTCACCATTAACAAGAGTGTTCCCAGTGGTTGATAAAATGTGAATGTTGAAAATATTTCCTAATGGGGATTAGTAATTGTCTAATAAGAGCATCATTTCTGTGTATAGGTTGGTGCTGCCTTACCCTTTGATGTATTGACATATGAAGAAAAGACCTTGTCAGCTATCCTGAGAATCTGTAGCAGGTATTAACCACTTAGCCTTTTAAAAACATGTAGACTCTGGAACAGAGTGAGTGGTGGGGAATTAGGGTGAACTCTCCCCTCATAATGCACTTTTCAGAACCGCAAGCAAGTCAGTCCAGTGCCTGCTGTGTTCCAGACATTGTGATAAGCTCGAGGAAAGGCAAAAGACAGCCCTTGCCCTAAGCTTGCTTACAGTGTAGTTGGGGAGGTAACATGAAAACAACTTCATATGAACAGCAAGGGCTAGTCACAAAGGGAAAAGGAGGACTGAGCTAGGTGTTTTGCAAAAGGTGGTACTTTACCTGAGGCTGGAAGGAAGGTGTTCCTCATTGTCATCTTCAAGTATCTATTAAGAACATTGTAGTAGGCATAAGAAGGGTGATGCTTCATTTCTCTCCACTAGGAGCATGTATTTTAAGGGGAGTGAAACTAATGACATTTGAATTGGGTATTATTTCTAATACAAGGCCCATTTTGCAAACTTAGAAATGTCTAAATATACATATAAATGTTTTAGAAACTAGTTGAGTTTAAATTTTTTCATGTTATATATATATATAGATATAGATAGATAGATAGATAGATAGATAGATATGTGTGTGTGCACCATTCTTCTTCTTTTAAGATTTAGCATTTCAAATTAAGACAGTTTTTGGCAGAAGCGCTTGCTAGGACAGACACACAGACCTAAGGATGCTGGAAGCATAGCAGAAATACATCTTCCTGTCTTTCTGACATGATCTGACTTTTCTGCAGTGGCCTTGTGAAGTTGTGGAGTTCTCTGACCCTGCTGGGGTCCTATCAGAACAAGAAATGTGCCTTCAGAGTGATGCAGGTACAGACTGTCTTTGAGATGTTACAGGGAGGAGGGAGAAGCCTTTCATGGGTGTCCACATCCATCAGTCTTGTGTGTGTGTGTGTGTGTGTGTGTGTGTGTGTGTCTCTGTGTCTGTGTCTGTCTGTCTGTATAGGGGAGGGGATTGGTAGAGGGGAAAGAGATGGTGAAAATTATGTGGTGGTTTTAAATTTTATTTGTTGTTGAGGGATTTTATTGTTACCCAGGCTTTTAAAGGAAAGCATTTAACCTCCAGTGTCTTGTGTTTTTCTGGGTAGAACTCTCTTACCTCTTTTATCTGAAGTGAGCAGGTTTGTCTAAAGCTGTGCTTATTAATGCTTAATAGTATCTCCCATCCACGCACAGGATCATTTTCATTGAAGTTCTTTGCCTCAGTCTAGCCCTTGCCTTAGGTTGTTGCTAAAGTTGGGCTCCAAGAAGATCTGAGAGTTCTAGGGAGGTTGTGGTTCTAGCTGGACTAGTTCCCTGTGGGCTGCCAGATGAGTTCCTGCTCTCCTAGGCTGTGTAAAGAACGAAAAAATGAGTGGGTTGGCTGTACTTGGCCCTGGTCAGCCCACAGCTGGAAGCTGCTGCTGATGCCATGTTATTTTGAAGGATGGAGACCAACTTGAAGGCATCCAGTAAAGGGTGACCTGGATGGGGAGAGGACTGCAGCCCTCATCATTCAGGAGCAGTTGAAAGAAGGAGGGAAGCTGAGCCAGAGGAAGGGAAGACTTAGGGAGTGCTGAAAACCATCCTTGAGTATTGGAAACGTCGCCGCAGAGAGCTGTCCTTGGAGCAGAGGCTCGAAATTGTAGAGAAATTGAAGCTTGATGTAGGGGGGAAGAAAACCACAAAACTTAGTGACAATTAGAAGCATCCAGTCAATCAGTAAAGTGTTTATTAAGTGCTTACTATGTGCCAGGCACTGGGCTAACTGCCAGGATATATATGCACACAAGCTGTATGAAGGATAAAAAGGAAATTGTTAACACTAGGATGAAGAAGGAGTGGGAAGGGCTTTCTGTCAAAGGTAAGCAGCTAGGTGGTGCCATAGAGCGTGGAGCACTGGGCTTGGAATCAGGAAGACTCATCTTCATGAGTTCAAATGTGACCCTGGGCAAGTCATGTCACCCTGTTTGCCTCAGTTTCCTCATCTGTCAAATGAGCTGGAAAGGAAAATGGCAAGCCACTCCAGTATCTTTGCAGAGAAAGCCCCAAATGGGGTCATAAAGAGTCAGACATGCTAGGACAACAAAAAGGTAGGATTTTGGCCAGGACTTACAGGAAGCCAAGGACGTGAATGGGCGGAGATGAGGAGAGAGAGCCTTCCAGGCAGGGGGGAGAGCCAGAGAAAATGCCTGGAGTACATGTTGGGAGGTGAGGTGTGAGAAGCCTGGAAGGGTAAGGACTAGATTATAAAAGGCTTTGAACACCAGAGGATTTTCTATTGGATTCTGGAGGTAACAGAGAGGCATTGGTGAAGGCACTTTAAGGAAATCACTTGGGTGGCTGAGTAGAGGATGAACTGGAGTGGGGGAGACCTGAGGTGGCGAACCCCCAGCAGCCACTGCTGTCCTGAGCTTGATTGGGCATCCTCAGGAGATGGTTGGAGCCTCCTCTCTGAAAGGCTGGAAGGCCACTGTCAGCAGTGTTGTGGCAGAGGATTTTGAGTCAAATACAGGCTGGAGCGCGTGACCTTAAGAGATCTCCAAGTCCTAAGTGCTGTGATTTAGTGTTTAATTACAGGGTGGCAGGTGGCACAGTGGGTAGAGCCCTAGGCCTGGAGTTGGGAAGACCCGAATTAAAATCCGGACTGAGACAAGTATTAGCTGTGTGACCCTGGGCAAGTCATTTACTGCTGTTTGCTTCAGTTTTCTCATCTGTAAAATGGGTATAATAATAGCACCTACCTCCCAGGGGTGTCCTGAGGATCAAATGAGATAATAATTGTAAAGATCTTAGCACAGTGCCTGACCCATAGTGGATGTTATGTAAACGTTAACTATCCACCACCACCACCACCACCACCACTACTATCACCACTCCTGTGTCATAGCCTCACTTGGCTTTGATTCAAGTTTAACTTCATATAAGAAAAAAAGAATCACTTTTGTCAGCCGTCCTGATTGCTTGTGTCTTGGCATAATTTTCTTCCAGTGTTAGATTGTTATTTTTCTTTCTTCTAGGTTTCTCCATTTCTTCTTGCATTATCTGGTAATAGTAGAGAATTCATATTGGAAGAGTAGGAATTGAATTGGAATTCACTGAAAACGAACGGTCAAGAAACAGTATTTTTTTTTTGCCAACTGTATGTGCAGCATTTGTAGAGAGAAGGACTTGCAGCTCTGGTTTGTAACTGTTTAAAATTTAGAAAGATGTTCACAGTAGTTTTCAGTCAACGAATTTTGCTGAGTACAGTAGGGCCCAGAGTTCTCCCAGTGCTGCCGAGGCTGAACAAAAGACGGACGTGCAGTTCTGACTGGGCCAGGCAGCACCTTCAGTGTTTGAGTGTGAAAGTTGGAGACCGGGCGGAGCTCACAAAGGCTTTTACTCAGAAGGACGTTGTCACGTTTTCAGAATTAACAGGGGATGTCAACCCCTTGCACTTGAATGAAGACTTTGCAAAGCAGACAAAGTTTGAAGGGACCATTGTTCATGGAGTTTTGATCAATGGGCTGATTTCTGCGCTTCTGGGTACCAAAATGCCTGGTCCAGGCTGTGTGTTTATTTCTCAGGAGATTAACTTCCCAGCTCCTTTGTATATCGGAGAGACAGTGTTAGCGAGTGCTGAAGTGAAAAAGCTGAAGATGTGTGTTGCTTTTATTAAAGTATCATGTTGTGTAATAGAGAGAAGAAAAACTGTAATGGAGGGCCTGGTTAAAGTTATGGTCCCAGATGCCTCTGGTTCTTGAACCATGTGTTGAAGCTACAGAATCAGAAATGTATTAATGTGAAAATGAAAGGACAGCTAGAGAGGTGGTGCAGTGGATAGAGCACTGGCCCTGGAGTGAGGAGGGCCTGCCTTCAAATCCAGCTTCAGACACGTGGTGCTCACTAGCTGTGTGGCAAGTCAACCCCAATTGCCTTGACAAAAAACAACAACAACAACAACAAAAATGGAAACTTCTTTAAAAAAAAGAAGTATAACTAGAGAAAATAATGGAAAATACTCGAGTTGCAATTTCATGTGATTATTGATAAAAGCAAATATTTCATGCTTGGAGAAAAGAAGAAATAAATTACTTAAATATTTCCATTTTTACCTCTTTTGTGTCTCCCTTCAGCGTGTACATCCCCCATTCTTCCCCCTGCCCTACACATGTGTTTCATCCAAAGACTATTTGGTATAATAGTAGTTTCTTCTGTCTAGCCAGTTTTTTTAAACTTAAAAAATATTTTAAATGTGATTTTTAACTATGAGAGCTACTTTTGTTATCTAAACCTAGATGGTATTTGAATTTCATAGACTTATCCATATCAGTGTATCTTAGACTGAATCTGTGACCCATCTGGAGTTTAGTTTTTAAAGGTAACAATAGAACTTTTTAAAAAATTTCATCTTGTTAATGCAGTTGTAGTTGCTTTGAGCTTTGCAAAGCACTTTTACAAAGATGAATTTGATATTTGCCACAACCCTGGAAGATATTTGATATTATTATCCATATTTTAGAGATAAGGAAACTGAGGTTCAGGGCTGATGAGTGACTTGCTGGGGATCGTGCAGCCGGTGAGTGTCTCGGGCGAGATTTAAAGCTTGGTCTCGGGACTCCCGAGTCCACCACTAGCCACAGAGACATGTTCTTCCAGTGTGTCCATTGGTCTTGAATCTTGGAACCCCACGATATCTGTGAAGACTCTAGCTTGGGGGTGATGCAGTGAGTGTTGCAGAGGTGGGTGGTGGGCTTACAAGTAGGCTGCGACATAAACGATGGCTGGTGGTCAGGAAGGTGGAGAGGTGGCGTATCAGGGCCCTCATCAAAGGGAGGAATGTGTGACTGGAGGAGGGGAGAGCTGACGACGTACGTGGAGCCAGGGAGAGCATGGGGATGGCCCAGGACATCTCTGGGCCCACCGAGCAGAACAAGACCTGAGGGGAAGTTTCGTTTGGCTGGCTTCTCTCTGAGGGGCCCACAGGGAAGCCCAGACAAGAGTCACATGGGATGAAGATGAGGAGGTGGCCTGGGATCTGCACAGGAGGAGGAGGGAATACATCTGTTGAGATGAAGCCACAGGATTTGTCCATTTTAAAGGATTACACTAAACTGTTTCAAGGACGGCATTGAAACAATTTATTCTTCATGTACAAAGGTGAGCTTCCTGATTTCGTCATCAGTGGCTCACAGATTTTTGTTTTGCCCATAGCGGTGGCACTATTTGGGGGCTCAACTATCCGCGTTCTTGTCCAGTCTCCATGGTAACTAGGAGTTGGGAGTAAACTTTTCCTGTTTATAAAACCCAATTTAAGAACTGTTGGAATTAATCCCGTGACTGAGTCAGAGTATGTTGCTAATGGAACCATATAACCTGGACCTCTCCCCTGCCCCCCTAAAAAAAAGGTAATGAAGTTCTTGGGTATTTAAAGTTGTAAACCACCCTCCCTGCGTTGGGACTCCGGTCTCCAAGGAGTCTTGTTTAAACTCAGGGCTCTAATTAAAGAGGCCAGCTTCTTACTGGCGAGGCGGAGAGAGTCGAGTAGTCATGTATATGTGGTCTCTGCTGCCTCCAACACAAAAGTCTGTAATAGAAGTGAAGGCTAGATGATGTAAAAAAAATTTTTACCTAAGCTTGCTAGCCATCAACAAAATAACTGCAGCAACAAAAAACATTCAGCACGAGCAAGAATGAAAAAGGGGCCCTGTGTGTGCTCTTGGGAGAGTTCAGATGCACACGGGGCCTCAGTGCTCCTCTGTCTCCTGAATTGTTCCAGGTATTTTCCCAGATTTTATTTGGTCTTCAAAGAGTTGTTAGCATATAAATGCTGCATCGTTTCACATGCATGGTACCAGATTTCTGCTCTCGGTGATGCCCTTTCTTGTACTGCAGATATAGTCTCTGATTTCTTGTATACCATTATTTGATTAGTCATCAAAATCAATAATCAGCATTTATTGTGTGCTTGCACTGTGCCAGGCATTGTGCTAGCAAAAACACTGCCCTCAAGGAGCTTACATTCTAATGGCGGAGACAACAGGTGTGTGTGTGTGTAAGTACCTGCATCTTACATACAAAATGATAGGAGAGGCTAATGGGGAGGGTGGGCACGAGGCCTCCAGGAAACCAGGGAAGACTTCATGTCCCTAGATCTGGGTCTCAGAGGCAACCAGGGCCCTTTAGAGGCGGAAGTGAGAAGGGGGTGTACTCCAGGTGTGAGAAGGCAAGGGGGAGGGATGGAAAGAGGTCACGTGACAGCTGTAGTAGGCCCACTAGCTCTGCTGGATTCACTATTACCTGCACGTTGAAGAGTGGAGATGGGTCAAGTGTGGTTCATCACCACTGCTGGAAAGGAATGAATATCAAGCCCTCGGTAGCAGGAAGGATAGCACCTTTGGCACGAGAGGGCAGCCGTGGACGGAGGCACCAGCAGGGGCATTTCTCTGACTCCTTCCTTGGCCACCCTGGGATTTGAATAGGTGGGAACAATGACTGAAACATTTCCGGTGCAAAGGAGATTAAACTTTGGTTTAGCTAAGAGAGCTGCTGAATTTCTTTTTTGGAATGTGGGTCAGTTTCCTAGCTCGAGTCAGTCTCCTGGGACTTAAACCGTTGGGGGTGGGAGAGCAGGGGGAGGGGGATTGCTGCAGGGGATCAGAAATTTGGGGTCACATGCATTGTTCTTGCTGTGCCCTCATACCCAGCTTTACTCCTGTTTGAGACCAGAACTACTCTTCTCTCTTTACAACTCTCAGAAACTTAAGTAGATGCCAATCTTAAACCCTGCTACAAATAAATAAAGCATGGAAGGAAGTGTAAATGGATGCCATTTGTTAATGCCAGCCTCGACTAAGTTTGCCTTCGGTTACTGCTGATTTACTGTGCAGAGCATCTGACAGAATTACTCTGAAGATGAAAAAGTGTGTGGGCCTAGGGTAGAAGCCTTGGTTATGTGGCTAGCCTTTGATTTCTGTTACTGGCAAACTCGGCTTCTCCGTAGGAATGTTCCTAGCTGGTAGTTTCCTAGATCCCTCTGCCTCTTTGGCTCTCTGAATCAAATTTATAGAACAAAACTCTGGAGCCACAGTGCTGTTCAGGTAGAGGTGAGTTGTCAGTTTTACCCAGAATCATTTCCTCAGTCCCATGATACCTTTGCTAGAGTGAAGCCAAGCGCCTCAAAAGACTGACCAGTTGGAGCTTTATCAGGGTAAGCTCTTCCACAGGCTCTGTGTAGCAGAGGAAGAAGAAAAGGTGAAGGGTCTGGCACAGTTCACCTGCAAATCATAAAATGCTTGGATTGGGAGGTGACCGTGACTGTACCTGGTCACGCTTATGAGTTAGCACAAAAGGCATGACAACTCTGACCAAATTATATTGACTGCAATACCAGACTCAGTAATCCGTGTTGCAGAAATACTCATCTTGTGCAATTTCAGCCTAATTTCCTGGAAAATTGGTTAACAGATTTTTATACTCTATTAGAAACATTTCAGTATTGGCTAACTGTCACAAATTCCTTTTTATGTGAAGCAAATTTGAGTTTTTGGACCAGAGGAAAGGCCTCGTTGAAGCCACCATTGCTTTTCTCACCTGACTTATTTATTGTTCTAGAATGAGCAGAAGTAATTAAGGGACACACTGGTAACTTTTAGGTAATGGTAGATTTCTCATTTTCTGTGGGCTTATTTGTTTTTTTTTTCTTTTATAATTTTAGACTAGGATTCAGACCAATTTAGTCCCAAAGAAAATTGCAACTAAATTATGTCATTTAAGTATTTCTATTAAAACACTCTTTGAAGAGTTGATCGTAACTATGTGTTGAGCAGCTGCTCCATCACAAATTACTTATTGACTTTACATCATGGAAATCTAAAGACCCTAAATCGCTTTCTCACACCCTGCTTGGTTTTCTTCTTGTGCGGGCTTAAAATTTCCATTGTTCTCATTGCTTGCTTCAGAGAATAAGTGCCCCACTCTTGTTGAAACAGGTATCCTTAGCAAACTCAGAAGTGTGCAAAGTGAAAGAAAAGGCCTCTGAGAAAAGGCTGGGTGGTTTCTTGCTCAGCATAGAAGAGTGGAATCTTGTGCAGGCCTGGGTGGGACTGGGTGGCCTCTGGTGTCTTTCAGCTTGGTGATTCATGCCATCAGCTTCTTGGAGGCCAAGTCATTGAGGCACTGACTCCCACTGGACCTACCAAGCTACACAGATTTATACTGGACTGTCATAGCAAAGCCCAGGTGGAGTTCAGGGCAGTGAATTTTCAGCCTGGAAAATAAGTTACTGAGTTAGTATGCAGTAGGTACTTAATGAATGTTTGTAGATTGATAAGAGTGGTTGCCATTTGTGTTGGTGAAGGAAGAAGCCCACAATTACTATAATTAGAGATTCTGAAAGTAATAGGAAATCAAAGGAAAAGTATTTGTCAACAAAGGAGAAGAGGAACTTTGCTATTCAGGAAAGATTTTTCATCTCCTAGCTTGAAGCTGCGCTGGGCAGCTTCTCTGTGCTTATTTCCTCATCTGTAAAATAAGTGAGAGCCCACCTCAGAGGTTATGAGAGGAACACTTTCAGCTTCACAAAGGACTTAATATTCTTTGTGGGAGGAAAGCTGATGAGCCTACAATTCCTGATGCAGCTTGAGACAGCTTAGTTAGGAATAAGACAAGTTGTTTCTGGTGCGTTGAGGGGGCCTACAGGCCTGTACTAGAGAGGACCTGTGACTCAGTCCAAAAGATGAGGGAAGCCGATTTTAGGATCCCAGGTAGAGGTAGGGGTCCAGGAACTCTAACCGGACCCCAGGACGTTCAGATTTTCAAGTATGAATAATAGGTTGAAATTTGCGCCTTGTTTTGCCTGGTGAGGTTCCCTGGATTGGGAGCTTTGGAACAGAAAAACAGGAGGGGAAGGCCACAGTTGAGCCTTGGCAGCCTTCCATCTAAGGCTTCTGAAATCACTTTCAGTTTCCTTTTCCTAACTTTGTCGTCCTTAGGTCTACGGGTGGGTTGGGTTTTCTCCACACCCCTCCCCCCTTTGCATCTCAGGTCTCCCATTCGTATTCCACATCTTCCTCCCCTCTAATTTAAACCTTTACCTACTCAACCTAGCCCACACTTTCCCTTCCCCTAGTTTGCTTTCTTGCTATGGGAAGAACCGAAATAAGGGTGTCTCGGGAGCCCCAACAGTCTCAGAATGGCTCTTTAACCCTTACCAAGTCACTGAGCCTGTTCCCCAGAGGGTCTTTTTCTGTCTCTAAAGAAGCAAAAGCAGCCTAGAGTTTGGGAGCATTAAGTAACCTTCCCCCTTCGGTATTGCAGTGTGGAGCTCAGCCAGGGTTCTCGAAATCTATGCCAGCTGGGGGCAGCTAGGTGGTACAGTGGATAAAGGACTGGCCCTGGAGTCAGGAAGACCTGAGTTCAAATCCAGCCTCAGATACATAACACTCACTAGCTATGTGACTCTGGGCAAGTCACCTAACCCCAATTGCCTCACTAAAAAAAAAAAATCGATGCCAGCCCTGCACAAACTTAGATCCAACCAAAGTGAAAAGGGCTGTCTCCCTAAGTTTGTGAGGCTATCAGTGATTATTTTTCACTTAGGAATGTGATGATGAAAAAGTAGAACGTGGCAAATGTAACTTTTGGATCACAGCATGATCCTTTACTGGAGAAAACCCCTTTAGGTTGGGATTTAGATCCTAGCCCAACTTCATCATTTTACAAATAGGAAGCTGAATTTCAGGGAGGTGAGTTCCTGCCTTACCACCCACCCACTCACCCAGGGTTTTATGGGTGGAGGCAGGATCGGGTTTGAATCCAAGCTTTGGGGCTCCAAAGCCGATAGGAAGGGGGTGTCGGGGAGGGGAAGGCTTTGTGTGGGTTTTTCCTCCACCATGCCAGACTGCCTCATTTTACAGTTCATCATTAGAAATGCCTTTTGGTGATCCTGGGCAAAAGTCAGTTGCCCTCACCCAAAAAAGATGCCTTTTGGCTGGGCTCTCTAAGCAGAGCGATGGGCTTTACTCCACTTCTCCCATCACCAGGAGAGCCAGGTTAGTCCTTGGGTGGGGCCAGGGTGCCCAAAGTCTTGCCCACCTTCAAACAGACAGGGTCAGACAGTGTGGGCCAGGCCGTGGTCACTGGACGTCTGCCAAGGCTGCTTGGGGGCAGCATGCGTCCCTCGGTGGCACTCATCACTGATGCTCTGAGAGCCCAAGACACAAATGCCCCAGAGGCAGAGCATCAGGTCACCTTCAGAAAACACTGCAAAATCACAGGATGTTGCAGCTGGAAGTTCCCTCACCTAGGCCAACCCTTCATTTTACAGATGAGGAAACTGAGGACCAGGGAAACAGGGGGGTCACACAGGTAAATGCTAAAGCTGGGATTTGAACCCAGCACTCCAGGGTTCAAACAATTAACAAATAGTGAACAAGCACCTAGTATGCACCAGGCCCATGCTCATCCCCCTCTTGGGGACTGCCCGCCCCGCCCTCTTTCCCTTCAGCTTCAGGGGGGCAGGGATGGAACACCCAGTGCCTGGCACACAGCAAGCCCTGAATGAACTAGGAGGCAGTCCCAGCAGGGGGTCCACCTGTGCCCCACCAAGACCAGGGTCCAGATGTGTTCCCAGGACAGGGGGCGGGGCCTCCTTCCCTCCCTCCTTGGTCAGGAGGCGGGGCCTCTCCTTCCCTCCCCCTTTCCTCGGGCAGGGGGTGGGGCCTCTCTCTTCCCTCCCTCCTTCTCCGGGCAGGGGGCGGGGCCTCTCTTTCCTCCCTTCCTTCCTGGGCGGCAGTCGGGGCCTCTCTTCTTACCTCCGGAGCAGGGGGCGGGGCCTCTCCCCTTCCCTCCCTCCTTTCCCGGGCAGGGGGCGGGGCCTCTCCCTTCCCTCCCTCCCTCCCCAGTCAGGGGGCGGGGCCGCCCACCGCCGCGGCGGCGCTAGGGCCCTGCGGGCTGCACGGGGCCGGGCCGGGCTGAGCTGGGCCGGGCCGGGCTCGGGGCGGGCGGAGGCTCTGGCAGCCGCCGGCCCGCTTAGGAGGAGGAGGAGGAGGAGGCGGAGGGCAGGCGGCGATGGCGTTCATGGAGAAGCCGCCGGCCGGCAAGGTGCTGCTGGACGACACAGCGCCGCTGAGCGCGGGGATCGAGGCGAGCCAGAGCCTGCACTCGCATACGGTGAGCAGTCCGCCGGGCCGGGCCTCTGCAGCGGGTGGGGTGCCGGGGCCGCCGCCAGGCCCGCCGGGAGCGGGGATGGGGGCTCCTCCCTCCGTCCGTCCTCACCTTCCGGCCAGACCGGCGCTCTTGTCCATCTCCCGCCTCCGTGCCTTTGGCCGGGCGACCCCGGCTCCCCTGCGGCGCCCTCCCCGGGCTCGGGGCTCCCCCCGCGCCCCCTTGCAGCCCTCCTGGCTTCCATCTTCCAGTGGCGCTGCTCTGGGCCCGGGGCGTCCGCCCCCAGCAGAAACCAAGGCTTTGTAATGCCTCTCTTCCCCCTGTGGTACACACTAGGTGTCTAATGTTTGCGGGGTTCAAGGGAACGCCGGAAAGTGGCCGGGCTGGCGGGGGGCGGGGGAGGCAGTGCTCCCGGCGCTTGGGGAGGGAGGAGGCAGGATGGGACCTGGCCGAGGAGGATGCCTGAGGCCTGGGGACGAGGGGACCCCACACAGGCAAGGGCACCTTCCCTGCCCGCCGGGGGCAGGGGTGGTGGTGGTGATGATGATGGTGGTGTGGTGGTGGTAGTGGTAGTGTTGGTGATGGTGGTGGTGATGGTGATGATGGGTGTAACGGTGGTGGTGGTGATAATGATGGTCTTAATGGGTCTTTGGTGGTGGAGCGCCCTGGGCACACCTTCGGCTGGAGAGAGTCAGAGGCATTCAGGGGACGCCGTCTTTCACCACCCTCCTCTTGACCCGTGCCCTCCTTGCTCCTCTTGGACTCTACTCTGTTTCCCACTTTGCCCGTGGCATGTTTAGGGGGCAGGGGGTCAGTCGTGGCGGTGTACATTCTCCAGATGACCCAGACCGAATGGGAACAGAGCCAGGGTGTGTGGGGGGAGATGCCCGCAGCCGCAGGGGTGCTGAGGATGGCCCGTGCCCTCCCTGCCTTCCTCCCTCCTCCTCCCCTGGGCTTTCCACCTGCCCTCCCCAGGAATCAGGACTATGTGGGCATTTATTTTCACTTAAAATTCATTGGCACAGCCTGGAGTGGGGATAGGTCCATGTAGTAAACACTTCTGGCCAATCTGGTGCCTTTTGCTTGGCTTCTTTATGTTTTCAAATGGACTCACTTTCATTTGCCTTTTTGTAAAAATGGACCCAGTGCCTCGTGATTGACAATCTATAAACAAATCAGTGACCAAAGAATTCGGGGGGGGGGGTGCAGAGAGAGTTTCTTCTGAAAAGAATGAAGTGCAAGGGACCAGAGAGCTTCCCTAAGCCATAATATTTTTCCTGGTCAACCAGTCAGATTTCTGGTCTCTTCAGCTCATTTGTTTACCACTGGAGTATTTTCGGAATTCATCTTCTCGAGGGGAGGGGAACAACAGCCTTCTGTTTGTCTTTGGGTTTAGGCAGTTCCGCGGACTCCAAAGGCAACCTTTCCTCCCTCTAATGGCCTGACTTAAATGGAGTTTTCTGATCCCAATTTCCTCCTTGTGTGATGTGTTTTCTAAAAATGAAGGAGGTAACTGACGGGCCATCTCAGCTTGTCTTTGCCTCTTCAAATTCTTCCTTTACAATTGAGAAAATGATTATCCCGTGAAGGGAATGTTTTCCATGTGGCTTATCTCCCCACTTCTTCTGCGGGCATCACGTGGCATTTTTAAACACTTGAAATGTTCTCCAGGGAGCATGGGTCGAGGGAGTATTGAGGTTTAGGGCTGGGAGTCAAGCGTCTTGCTATAAAATTAGTGGCCAGTCCGTGATAGAAGATGTGGAGAGGTTACAGATCATATCTCCAGAGCAGGAATCTTCCGGAGAGGCCATTCGGACCAACCCCTGCCAGAGTCCAGAGAGCTGAGTGCCTTGCTCTGGGTCCCACAGATAGAAGTCCTTGACAAACATTTAATGAACACCTACCTGTTACATCGAAAACACTGTGCCAGGCATTGGGGAGCTGAGACAGAAAGGAAAGTATCCCTCCATTCTGTGAGAGGTACAAATCCTGTGATTTCATGAGTTTTCTGACCCCACAGTGAGGAAATCTCCCTCTACTGCACGTCACTGACTGTTGTGCATCTTTCAGTTTGAGAGACCTGAGAGGTCACTTGACTTACTCAGAGTCACACAGCTACAGGACAGCAGCCCAGGCTTCCTGACCAGAAGCTGGGTTCCTAGCAGTTTCCTGTACTGTATAGTACATTATATCTTTACAGTGATCTATATTGTAAATGTTTTGTACAAAATCCCTACAGATTAAATAAAATGTAAATTTCAAATTAAACAAAATGGGGAAGGGTATTAAGAGGACCTGGGAGAAAGTGCCTGGCACATAGTAGGCACTTAATAAAGGTTTATTGAATGAACACGTGATCAGGAAAGATTTCCTTGAGCTCAGTCTTGAAGGTAAATTGAGAAAGCATTATCACCATAGGGGATACCACCAGTGCAAAGGCATGGGGGTGGGAGGCAACATTGTGTATGAAGCTAGCAAGAGCCAGATTGGCTCTACCAGGGTGCTTGAAGGACAGTGTAGTCTTACTAGGCTAGAAAGGTCACTGGGGCTGTGCTTTGAAAGGATTGTAAATGCAAAGGGATGGGTTGGAGTTTATTCAAGTTAAAAAGAGTCAACAAGCATTTATTAAGCACCTACTGTTCAGTAAGATAGTGAGTGGTCAGATCTGTGCTTTAGGAAATCGTTTTCTCAATTCAATGGAGCTCTGCATTGGAGAGAGGAGAGACAATTTAAGTTAAGGAAACCAAATAGGGGAGGATATGACAGTAGTCCAGGTGAGAGGTGATGAGGGCCTGAACTAAGGTTATGTAGAAAGCAAGGGTTAGATGCAGAAGATGGTATGAAACTAGAACTGGCTGGGTGGTTGGGGGTGCTCAGCAAAGGCTTCATGGAGAAGGAGCCCTGGAGCTGGGTTTCAAAGGAAGCAATGGATTCTGGGAGGTGGAGGTGAGCAGGGGGTACATTCCAGGTCCATACCCAGGTCCAGGAGATAGCTAGTTCAAATTCATGGAGACAGGAGCTGGTGTGGCAGATGAAGAAGAGTGAGGCCAGTCGGGCGGCTGATTGGCCATTGTGGGCCAGGTCAACACCAAGATGGTGAACCTGGGGGCTCCGAATGATGTTAGGACTCTCAGCTCAAACAGAAGAGCTGGAAAGAGGTGGTAGGTTTGAGAGGAAGGCAAACAAGTTGGGTCTCGGATAGGCTGTGTTGGGGATGCCTCCAAGATCAGTACCTTTTCTGCTGTACCTTCGGGGATTGTGTCTTTTTAGATATGCTTTCTGTAATGACAAGAAGAATCATAGAACCATAGCTGGAAGAGGAAACTTTGAAAACAAATAGTTTAACACCCCTATTTCACATCTGAGGAAACTGAGGCCCAGAGAAGGTACATGTATAGCCTTGCCCACAGTTATCCAGGTAATAGGAAATGGCAAGCTGGATTTGGGCTTGGTGCCCAGCACTCCAAGTTCGTCTCTATTTCTGCTGCCCACGGGAATCCTCCTGAAACATAGTTGACCTCATGATGCATTTTTTTTCTCTCTGTATAATAGTGAAGATGAAAATGACAGCTTTTGGAGTAGCATAGTTAACTGAAAGAGAGAACATTTTCTTTGAAAATTCCAACTCTAAAATACTGGAATAACTTGTAGGGATTAAGAGGATCACAAGTTTATCTCACTTCTCATTAAAAATGCAGATAACATTATTTGAGGAATAGGAAATGGCTCCTTGGACAACCTTGAGCTGAACACAGGAGTCTGACTCACTGAAGGCCTAACTAACCATTACGAGTGCCCTCATTCATAATAGCTGCATAATTAAAGGCTAGAAGAGGTTGCGTCAGCTCCGAGCTTCCCTGGGCAAAGCTAATGCTGAGGTCAATGCTCTTGATTCACAGTGTTGGGATGAGTAAGTTCCCTTCATCATGATCTGGTGAAAAATACTCTGGAAACACATGAGAATTAAGGATGGCAAATGGACAAGAAAGGGCGGTGTGGCCGTAGTTACAGGAAGGAAGAAGCTGGTTTTGCCTCAGCAAGTTTTAGGCGGTGTGTGGAACACCCAAGACCCAGCCGTGAATGAATGGGCGCTCATCGACAGTCCGGGAACTTGAAGTCTCTGGATCTGTTTTGGGCTGTGGGCGGTGAGCATGGCAGTGAGCTAGCAAGTCAGTTTTCTACGTTGACCTCAGTTCTCCTAAAATGGCTAAAAACCCCCAAATCTTTCAGGCATCTGGATTTATAATGGCAAAAATAGATTTTGGATTTATGGTCTTGGGAAAAGGAATGGCCTGTGGATGGTAAATTAGAGCAGGAAAACACAGGCTCTCAAAAGAGAATGGAAGAAAGAAGTGGCAGTCAGCCAGCATTTATTATGTGCCTGCTGTGTGCCAGGCATTGGGTATACAGGGACACAAATGAAACAATTCCTACCATCAAGGAGGAGACCAGTACACCTCTAAGGTCACACAAAGTCAATGCTGGATATTTTTTTGGGGAGGGAGGCATAGGGGGTGTGGTGGAAAGCCACTGGCAGCACAAATCTAAATGAGTAATGGGGGGGAGGGGTCACAGCATTAAAAGGGTGCCTAGATGGTCAGGCTTACCCATCTGGAGCGTAAGTCTGTGCCTGGCTTTAGTTTGAATGATTTAACCTTCATTTTTATGGAGGACAGGGAGTGTTTTGCTTCTGACTCTGGTGCGGAGGTGGGAAGCTCTCATACAAACAGAGAAGGGAAATATTTATGGTAGTAATTTGAGCAGAAGAGATGGTCTGGTGATGCCATCCATGCCAGGGAAGTAACATTTCCGGTGCTGGTGGAGAGAGGGAAGATCTTTTTTTAATTTTTCCAGGAGGATTATGGTAGAGTTTGAGAGGAAGAAGAGTGTATAGTGAAGACAGGAGCATTGTGGGGAGACATTCTTGAAGTCGCTGCCCTAAGTGACAGTTACCTGGTACTTGTTTCAGAGGGCATCTAATCCAGAGCGTACCTGGGAGAATGCCA